TAGTTGGGCGCAGGCAGGTTGGGGTAGCCCAATGCACATCCCTAATCTTCAATGTAGAACCATTCTAAACAAGACTACATGGAATTTGTCCTGAAGTTTGGTCTGCCCTGGGGATGGTTTGGTTTGCTTCTTTTCCCAGTGACCACATGCTAGTGCAAATAAGCCCATCCCCTGAGTGTTCTTACCTGCACCTTTTTGGATCCTTATCAGGGGCTTTTTTTTTAAGTATCATCACTCATTTTGGTTGAGTTTGTGTCTGTGATTGTTGGAATTGAACTAAAGCAACCAGCTGGCTGTCTCTTTATCAAAGCAACTTAACAATAATCAGAAATAGGAAGCTTCTTTGCTGCTTGCCTTTGAAGCGGGCCACTGAAGCTGCTTGCCTTTGAAGCAAACCACAGAAGCCTCTGTGCTGCAGGGTCAGAAGACCAGCAGTCGTAAGATCGAATCCATGCAAGAGTGAGTTCCTGTGGCTTTGTCCCACCTCCTCACCAACCTAGCAGTTCGAAAGTATGTAAATGCGAGTACTGTAGATAAATAGGTACTGTCTCAGTAGGAAGGTAAAATGGCGTTTCCTAGTCACGCTGGCCACGTGGCAACGGAAACTGTCTTCAGACAAGTGCTGGCTTTACGGCTTGAAAACGGGATGAGCACCACCCCCTAGAGTCGGACATGACTAGATTAAGAATGTCAAGGGGAACCTTTATACCTTTACCTTTGGAGGGTAGGGTAGGGTTTTTTTTTATTTATTTTTAATTGTTGCTAATGCATCAGCAATTTTTTAGATGGCTTTTGTTTAATGGCAAGATGAATGGCAAGGAAGATTTCCATTTCTCAAGATTATTAAGTGGCTTTCTCCTCTGTGCTTAATGATCTTGAGAAACAGGAAGCTTTCCCTTTAAAGGGAAGGAAGTCTTGATTGTGCTAAATGATGTGGTTGATCTTTGCATGTGGATCCACAGATTGCCCCAAATGACATACCACATCTCACAATGACCCTGTTTAGCACAATCTAGATGGATCCAGCCAGGATAATTTAAACCATCTAGTTGCACCCTAAATCTGGATCCACCCTGTTCAAGGACAAACCTGTTACAGCTGTTGCAATACTGCACTGCTGAAATCTACTACATAGCAGTAACTCTGCATTACAGGCAACATATCCTCCAAACAATGAATTTGAATATTAAGACTATAATCCAATCAAGGTTAAGCAGTTTAGAACCCAACTGATTTGAACAGAAGAGTTAGTGTATGCATCAATCTCTCTTACTGAAATCAGTGCGCTTAACTTTGTGACTGGTTTTGGACAAATGTGCATAAATGGACTAAATCAGTACTGTCGTATTTTTGTGATCACAGGGTGTCTGTAGGACAGAAGAAGGAACCATTCTTCATTCCCATGGCACAGGAACATCGCAGCAGAATGTTTATATCTATTCAATATTCATAGACTTTAAAAAATAGTCAGTGATTTGAATTGAGAAAAGGGAAATTTGAAACACAGTCTAAGCAGCTGGCACTAAAGGAAAAAGTGAGTGACACTTGAAGCCTCCAATAAAACTCAAAGTTTTCCCTGGACACTCCAACCACTGAGGTACTCAGTGTGAGGTCCCTGCACAGTATATACATCCCCTTGCAGCCATTTTTCAGAAACATAGAGTGAAGAAGGAGCCTTGCATAACAGTTCAGTTAGCCTTTTGGTGTTCTAAAATATTCTTTTCCCCCCTTGTTTGTTTGTTTGTTTAACTTATATGCCGCCCACTCTACCCAAAGGTCTCTGGGTGGCTTACAATTAAAATACAATAAAAAGATAAAACAATTAAAATGCAATTAAAATATACTCTAAAAATTGCCATCAGGACCCACAGTTGATATTATTTCAATTAAATGCCTTCTGAAACAGCAAGGTTTTGACCTGGCACTGAAATGTCATCAGTGTTGGTGCCAGACTAATCTCAATGGGGATGACATTCCATAGTCTGGGGGCAGCTGACGACTATGGTAGCTTTGTCTACAAGCCATCCCTCTTACCTCCTTGAGGGACAGCTTGAGTCTAACAATTGCCCAGAATGACTTTTTTTTTCTCCTTCTACAGTGTCCAACCTGATGAGCAGTCTTACAAGATTCCAAAATGTATCTGCTTTGGAAGTTTTAGTAGTCTAATAAAGGCACTGCCCATTATTGCTTTTGGATTTTACCTTAATATGGATACAGCACAAAATGCATTATATGCATCTACCCAACCCTCCCACCACACACACATACACTCAGGCTGAAGTTGTGTGTCTTTTTCCCTGGGAGCAAGTCCCATCACACTCTATAGGGTTTATTTTTAGTAGAGATATAAAGGAATGCTCTGTGATGTCCTGAAATTCTGTGACTATCAAAATTAACAAGTAAGCCCAACTCTGAGATTCCTTGGTTGACCAAAAAGATTTGATGATCAGCATGCATGCCCAAGTGATATTAAGATTTGTCACATGAAGTGTTGGATACCAGTGGTTTAGGTTTCTAACTGCGGAGCCAGAGGTTGAGAGTTTGATTCCCCACTGTGCCTCCTTGTCAGGGGCTGGACTTGATGATCCATAGGGTCCCTTTCCAGCTCTGCAGTTTTAAAATTATGACGATGATTTAAGATGATTTGGGATATCTATGCTTATAGCAGTCTCTACATATATCTTTTGCTTTAAGACTCTTCGTCTTCTTGTATGACTGACTGTGATGAAATTGTGTTGAAACAGCTGGATAAGCAGGTAAAGCACACCTGTTTCACAATGCAGATGAAATAGTGACACTCTATAAATAGTTCAACATGATTTGATCTTTTAAACTATGACAGATTTCATCCCTTCTCGTCCCCCCCCCGCCACCATCCATGCTTCAAGCTAGACAGGAAACCTACCTTCATCTCTATAGTGACTTACCCCCAAATACTGGGTCAGATTATTATCAGTTTATATTAAACAGTAAAATTACTCAGCAGTGGAAATGCTCCTGAATATGAAATTGCTCTGCATTTCAGTTCTCTTCAGATATTCAGTGAGATTAAGAGAAGTTTCATTTTCTGTGCGACAGTGACAAATAAAGGAACCATCAAAGCAGGTGAAATAACAATAACAATAATATAAGAGGATATTGTGAAATTTCCTGAAGTGTCTGCTGCTTTCTTTATTTACAGAATTATTAGGTTAAGCGATTTGTTTGCTAGGGAAATGACTTGACCAAGAGGGTGACTTTTCCACCCACAGGATCTGTGGCAAATCTGTCTATTCCTTTTGGAAGAAATATTCTGAAAGAATATGCATCCGTTTTTGAAAACTCAGTTTTAAAGCCAGCTGCTGTACACCAACCTTAGAAATGTTACTTTTTATACCACTGGTTCCCAACCTTGGCTACTCAGATGTTCTTGGACCATAACTGCCTGAAATCCTGGCCATTTGATAGTGGCCTGAAAGCACAGCTAGTCCTGAAAGCTTCTGAGAATTTTAGTCCAAGAACATCGGGGACACAAGGTTGGGAATCATTGTTTTGTTCCATAACTCCAAGAACTACCCAACCAGTAGGGATGAGAGGTTAAAGAACCCAAACCACCTTTTCCAAGGGCTGCTATCCACATGCATTGGTACCTTCAACCAAGCTACACCTTCATCTGTCTCCAGCTATGCATAATGTGAGATTCCATGCACCCTTCTTCAGGCCAGGAAGGCAGCATTACAGGACAGCAACTCCTGCTAAGGTCTCTCCTCAAACAAAGAATGAACATAATACTCTGAAAACTATCATCTGGCTTTGATTTAGAGAATTTATTTTATTCATATATTTAAAATATCTTGATCCACCTTTCTCCTTAAAAAGGACCCAAGGCAGCTTACAACAGCTAAAAAGACAGTACAGTATTTAAGTTAGTAACAGTGAATATATAATACTAAAAGGATCAATGAATAGAATACCAAAAAACAAAGAAAATCTCACAATTCTATCAGATCATTAAAAGCAAGAGGAACAAAAAAATCTATGGAGGAAAAGTATGTGGTGCTTTGAAACAGAACACTTTGGCTTGTAAATATATATACATACATATGAACAGTTTTGAATTGTTTCAGTGGATAAAATATATGTGGCTACTCATTTGATTCATAGGATTTTCAAGTATCATCGTCATTTAGTTGTGTCTAAATCTTTGTGACCCCATAGACCACAGCACGGCAGGCCCTCCTATCTTCCGCTGCCTCCCGGAGTTGTGTCAAATTCATGTTGGTTGCTTCGATGACACTGTCCAACCATCTCGTCCTCTGTCGTCCCCTTCTCCTCTTGCCTTTTACATTTTCCAAGTCCTCTGTTGTTCCCATCTCCTCTTGCCTTTTAGATTTTCCAAGATTCTTTTCTGGATTTATTCTTTTCTGGATTTAAGAGAGCATACAGAAAGCACCAGAAAACCAAATTCAAGTGTAAGTCAAACAGAACATGATGATTTAAGCAGGTTTTGGATTAACACTTTTAAACAGTGTTTACTAAAGAGAGTAGGAGTGTCACAGCCTGAAACAGGGCAGTCAAATACTCTGGAAACCACCAGCCTCCCTGCCGCCCAGGAAAACATTTATCTTTTTCAATTCCTTAAATCCACTGTATTAAATTCTGTGTAAAGTTTGCTGTAACTGGAACATAATAGAAAATCATTTCACATGCAAGCAGATTACGAGAAACGGCCCAGTAATGGGGCCCTGGATTCTTGTTTTGCATAAAGAGCAAAAAATAGAAATATCTATATAAAAATACGCCGCGTAATTTGGCTGCCATTGCTCAGAAACCAAAAAAGCGGCGTCGCCACCGCCGCCTCCACACCTGGTCCACGCTTACTCATCCTTCCAGGAATGAAAGTGGGCCGGGCTCCCATTAAGGGGGAGAAACTATTTAGCGCTGTGCATGCTGGGGGTAGTAGTTCCTGAGCAGCACTGAAGGCTGGCCAGCCCGTTGGCAAGAAAACTACGAGTCCCAGAAGGCCTAGCGGCATTATATCAGGCGACTCTCAAAGCCTGGCTTTTCATCACACGTGGGAGTGGCGAAAGCCGAAGAGTCGGCGTTAGACAGACGCAATTCCTGGTAGTCGGAGCTTGTAACTAGTTCATTTGGGCTGTTATCCGAGGAGGTCAGGAGCGGCCAAGCGGAAAGCCCTCTGATCATAAGACCCCCCTAGGCGGGAAATCCCAGCCAATTTTGAGAGGAGGAAGCGGGCGATGCCCTGCGTAGAATAATAATTAGCCACTTCATAGCCTGTTAATTTCATTGCTCATTCTTGTAGAGTAAATATTCTACCCCCCCTTTCCCTAGCATTGTTTTTTTTTTTAATTGTACCTTCCTACCTAATTAGGCTGCCTCCAATCTCTGGTGCTAAAAGTTTCAGCTCGGTTAGAGCCATGGGGAATGGGATGAACAAGGTAAACATTGCTTATTCTCTTATTTTCTTAAAATAGTTTTGTGTTTGTGCTCGCGTGCAAAATCTAAAGAGCAATTCACGGGACAGGAGGCACGTCCCGCCCTTCTGCTTCCTTGTTTTGGTCACCGGGTAGGGAATGTTAACACTTGGTTTGGGAACTTTCTGGATGCTGCGGAGGTTTTTTAAAAATTATTATTACTTTATTTTACTTATTCTGAGCCGTTGTTTGGAAAATCGGGCGGTGGGTGTGAATGGGAAAAACAGAAGGACACGCTGCCTCCTCTTCTTTTTGGTGGATACTCGGTCCGCACGTGCGACCCAATCCTGAAACGCTGTACTGTATTCATAAGTAAAAAAAAAGCGCACGAAATTCAGTGGGGCTCCGCGCCCTCATTTACTGCGCAGATCCCATACAGGTATACCCAGGAATCCCACGGAGGTTAAATGAGGCTTTCCTGTAAAGTGGCTGAGGGTTTACTAAAGGTTTACTGTCACCTCTTATCCAAGATGCGTGTCTTTGCCCTCGCTGCTCCATCGGTGTGGTAGCCCCTGCAGTAAATCATCACTAGCAATATCGGTAGGTTTTTTTTTTCAGGCTGGTTTCCTTTATTCGGGCCTCTGCTTGTTTCCGATTTGCATATGTAGACGGAAACGTTTCAGGTTTTTCAGCAGCTGGGCGAGGTCATGCGTGCGGCTTAAATCGCTCAAAATGATAAGGAACTTTTGCTATCCCGGCCGATCGATCTTATTCTTTCCAGGCGCTTGCTTCTACTTTTTCCCCCAGTCCGGTTGGTACTAGTTCACAGATGCAAGTTCGTGTGAACTGTTCTCAGCCGTGGGAGAATATTGTGCTGAAGTTGGTGGTAGATTATGCCGCAGTTTAAACAGAGATAGTTCTGTGCGCTGCCGAATTCCGAGGGGGGGGATGTGCCAGGCTGTTTTTATGGTGATATGAGCAGAAATGGGTGACATCTCACTCAGTTCTGAACACTGTTAATACTGTACAGTAATTTTCTTAGGCCTTGATTGATGAGTGGAGGGATGAGCAGCCATTTACTTTTAAGAAAACCAATAGGATCTGTCCTATCACATTTATATCACTTTGTGAATGGGAATGAGCACAGGTGCTGCCATTGGTTTTGCCAACATTCAGGCTGCCCTTTGCTATGTAAAGCCTGGCCTCATTTTTTCCTGCTAGCAACATAGGCCCAATATTGCACAACAGATTGATGAGTGGAGGGATGAGCAGCCATTTACTTTTAAGAAAACCAATAGGATCTGTCCTATCACATTTATATCACTTTGTGAATGGGAATGAGCACAGGTGCTGCCATTGGTTTTGCCAACATTCAGGCTGCCCTTTGCTATGTAAAGCCTGGCCTCATTTTTTCCTGCTGGCAACATGGGCCCAATATTGCACAACAATATTGGGCCTATTTCCTGATCTTTTGAATTGTACATACAGAAGCACAATATCCCACATCATAAATTGGAGAGTGATGTTTTGGGTTGTTGTTTTTTCTTTTTTAAAAAAATAATTGAAAAACTTGGCAAAAGTCTGCATCAAATACAGTATCAGTCATGGAAGTAATCATTCATTAAAAATACAAAAGAACATTTGAGTGAAAAGCTATGTGAGTTGGCTGTTTGTTTGCTGGATTTCAGAGAGAATGAAGGCTTGGGGCCTGACAATCCTTTCTTGGGAGACTGTTCCCCTGCAGAGGTGCCACCATGGAAAAGGCCATGCTTCTTGTAGCTGCCGGTCATATCTCATTTGAGAATGGTATGTTTTTAATTTGGGAAGGAAAGCAAATCCTCAAATTAGAGGTGTCCAGATTTGTGGACAAATCTGCATACAGCCACCTCAAACATTGCACGACACAAATTTTCCTTGAATTATGTGATTATTTAGCTCTTTTAATGTCAGCCCTAGCACTTTGAATCAGGGTGAATTGTAATCCCTGCCAAAAGCCTAGCACTACCATTTTCAACTAGTTGATCTTTCTAGCTGGTTTTCAAAGACATACTCACATAGGATGGGGTAGGATCTTTCTAGCTGGTTTTCAAAGACATACAGTACTCACATAGGATGGGGTAGAGTAGTGATTGGATGCTGTGACTATGCTGCAATTTGATTCACAGGCTTTATTACAGTTGAATTTACAGTTGGTGATCACACCGGGAATGGGTGGGTGCATATTGATTTGAGAATTCAGTGTTCACACATGATGTGACTGCAACAAATCCCACAGTATTTGATTGTGTAATCATAACTTAAGTAAGAATGGTAATTGCAAGACCTGATTCTTAGGAAGAGTATGCTTGGCAGATAACTTGGATCTGGAAAAGGGCAGCTCTACTGCCAGTGACATTGTGAAAAACCAGGGGAAATTGCTGTCTTTTTTTTTTCCTGGACTGCCATTCTCAGAATCCCATACGCAATATGGCCACCAAACTCAGCACCCAAAAGAACTGGAGTACCTTCAAGCTGCAGATCTTAAAATTTTGCCTTGTTTGTTTTTGGTATCAAGTGGAATGACTATACTTTAAGGCAGATTTCAATTTCATCTTGGGCCGCATTGGCATTATAGTTGCCCTCAAAGGGCCTGTTGTATTTGTAAGATAAATGTATCTACTCATTATCATATTAAATACATTTAATATTTCTAATTCAGTTATTACTGGTTTTAGCAATAACTAGCTCAAAGTAACAGTCTATGATCAAAGTCTAGAAATAATGGCAAGCAGATAAGAACGGGAGTGGACAATAACAAGGACTACATTTCCAAGGTGCTGTACACCGCCGAAGTAGGCTACAACTTTCTGACTCTTCTCTGCTTGGAATGCTGGGATTAGAAGTCCCGCTGGGTGGATTTCCAGCACCTTTGTAGAGCATTATGGGTGACTGAGTAAGTGCCTGCGTATTGTATGCTGCACAGTAGCAGGCAACACTGTGAGGGCCACATGAAATGGCCTAGTGGGCCGGATTTGGCCCGTACGCCTTGATTTTGACACATGTGCTTTAAGGTATAGACAAAGTTTAACAGGGAACATGGGTGTGCCTGTAGTAGGCCCCACCCCATTGCAATTTGATACTTCCTTTTGATTTAAATAGATAGACTTGGCACAGGCAGCTATGGGCAGATTTAGCAGGTGCACTACTGGGGTCAGGAGCATCAATGTGAGATTAGAAGAGGAAGCATCAGCTGAGTGAGTGGGCTTGAAAGCTGGTTTTAGCCACATTTTTCATCAGTTTGATGCCATAATGATATACTAATGTACCAAGAAGATCAGAGGCTAAAATGCAAAACCTCCATCCCCAGGAGATGCCTGGGCTATTAGTATAAATGACCTTAAGTTGGTAAACTGTGCCTACCCTTTGTTTGCAGCCATATAGGGTTGTGGGCAAGATAAATCCACCAGTGGTGGATGAGTTCAATTTCAAAAACTCCCTTTGTTCTTCAGCCAGAGAGGCTTATTGCTTTCCCTTAATATTCCTAACAAAGGACAACCTCCAGAGGCTGCTAACACCTGCTGTTGCCACAATTGGTTCTTGGATCATCTGGCTGTTGTTTGCCCTCGCCCTCTTGTCTGACCAGCCAATCATGCCGGATGCAGGAGCATGTCCGCTCTCTGGATCTTCATGGGGTGGAATTAATGGCATTTGCTCACATTCTTCCCCTCGCAACCTCTTGCCTCCTTCTGCCCTTGTTCCTCTGTCTCCCACTCTTGTAATATCAGCTGTAATCTTCTTGGTTGCTGGGATTTGTCTTTATTGTTTTGCAAGAGGTATAAAAGTTGTGTGTCGTGAAGGATAGAGCATTGGGCGCAGACCTAGGAGAACTGGGTTCAGATCCCCAGATATTGTATATGTTGAAAGGTAGGACCAGGTTTCAGGGAACTGAATTCAGATCCCCACTGGGCAGGGGTGGCAATGATCGACCGGAGTGGTAACGTCTCAGGTACCTTGAAAACCGTTTCCAGGTTGCTGTAAGTCAGTAATGACTTGACAGCATGCAACAACAAAGTGGCTTTAGGCCAAACCAGGCCAAGCTAGCTACACAGACTGATAGTAGCTCCCCAGGAACTAAGAAAGAGGTATTTTCTAGGCCTAAGTATGTGATACTAGGAGTTGAGCCTTACCAGTTATTATTCCACCAGTAAACTATAGCCCCCCCTTTCCAGATCATGAACACCAGCATATCTTAATCATTAAGATATCCAACTGGCATTTAAAGAATCATGGAAGTGAGATATGAGTGAGAAAAATACAGCATTCATGGAGCCCCTTTCCTACCTTATCATTGGCTATGCTGCCTGGGAGTTATAGCTGGTGATGGAGCTGCAGTCCAACAGCATTCTTTTGGATTGCAGCAGAGAAACCTTAAATATACCTGGGAGCGTATCTCCCCCATTGTCATGTGGGGTGATAGATTTTCTGTTCCACTTTTGTGGTCCTGATGGACTTAAGGGCCAGAAACTGACATAAGCTGACCAGAACAGTTGCTCAGGCTTGAAAGGCTAGCAGGGGTGCTTCATCTCCCCATCAGACATTTAAAAAATGTTGATGATTTCATGCAGCATCCTATCCCCTATTGAGTTCAAATACCTTTATGTTCTTCCTGTCCATCCCAATGCCCATAGCTTGTGGGAAACCCATCACAATCTGATGGAGAACTGTATGTCTACATTTACCTCTCTATTTTGAACCTGCCTGTCTTCTTTCCTATGCCTTTGGTTTCCCTTAAAAATGTCAATTTCCAGGGCCACATGGGTTAGTCTGTTGCAGTAAAGTCAACAAAGAACTTAATGGCAGCTTAAGGACAAGCCATTTTTATTTGGTTTAGATTTTTGTGAGGAGCATCTCGTGAGGTGGCCTACAGTTCACAAAAGCTATGCCATATAAGATTGGTTGGCCTTTAAAGTGCCACTAGAATTTGTCAGATATCTTTACCTTAAATGCAAACATTTGCCCAGGGTTTCTAGGAGATGTCAAGGGAATGGTAGTGTCAATCTCAGTTGCTTACATATTTCTAATAACATTGTTGATGTCCTCATAGATATTAATACAGTACATAGTCTTTGACTTGCTCCCCACCCCATGAGTGATTGATTTGTATTCACATTGGTAAGCTTGCTTGCTTAGAAGTTTGTGACATGAAATTAATGAGTTTTGTTTCTGAGTATATATAAAATAATCTGTTAGGCTGTAAAATGTGACTAGATGGGCAAAACTTAGATTGTGGCTATTTAGATCACATTCAATTCAATAAAACTGATTTCATGTATGTATATAAGACTGCATATTTCCAGTGGGACTAATGTCAGGATAGGTATCTAGAGGATTGCCCACTTAGGGCTGTATCAATATTCTATTTTTGTTTACTTCATTTATTTACTGGATTTATATCGTGCCTTTCTCTCACTGAAAGGATTCAAGGTGGTGAGTAAACAAATATTTAAGGCCAGTGATCTCTTGAAATCTCTTAACAAAGGATGTGATCGTCTATCTGTGTTATTTGGGATGAGCTACATTGATGTTAAGGACCACTTACTTCTGAGTAGGTAATATGGGCCTTTTCTGAAGAGATCCTGTTCGCATAAAAATGCCTGGCAGTATTTCAGAATACACGGGCAGTCTCACAGGATAGCAGTATTGATTAAGCACCTTTAGTCGCTAGGCCCTGCAGTTGTTTTAAATGCAGACGTGCCCCCTGCCTTACTAGGTAACAAGCAAAAGTGTGCAAAGAGGAAGAGGCAAGAAAACTGAGGGTAAGAAAATAGCAAAGCTGTCTGATTAAATACTGTACAGTGAAAAACATGTTGGCAGTATAAACTCACATGTTTCTTAAGGTGTTTCTGACGGATGTTTGCCTGTATCTGGACTGATATTACAGAAGGGCAGTCAAAAGCAGTTGTAAAAGCAGGATAAATCTAGTAGGTGCCCATTTCTGTTTGATTGGTGAGGAGTGGAATTAAGTCTTTAAGACAGGGATAGGTAATAGCGTACATGTGAGTGCATGCTCGCTCTCGCTCTCTCTCTGTGTGTGTGTGAGTGAGCGAGCGAGCGAGCGAGCGAGCAAACGCCTGATTTGTTCTTTTCTGGTATGCTGAGGTTTTAAAAAAGGTCCCTTGGGTTCCAGTCATGTGCCTTAAGCGTCTTTCTGGGTTTTCCCTTGTTTGCTTTGAATTCTATCTTTGGTCAGAACTTAGCGATGATAAAACTAAAAATCTGAGTCCACGTGGGTTGACTGACCTAGTAGTCATGTGTCTTAAAACCGATTAATCCCGTAACAGGCTGTTTTTGTTCCATTTTGTTTTTTTCTGGTTTGTAAGTCAATTCTCAGGTTGCAAGTCAAACCTAAATTTTGCAGCCAGAGAAGTCTGTAACTGAAAAAGTCTGTAAGTCAAGCTGTCTGTAAGTCAAGGGTCCACTGTAGTAGTCATGTGTCTGTGTGGCCTCTTAGGACAGCAACATAGAGAAAAGGAGTTAGCTGTCACCCTTGTCCTGTCCTGTGGTCTCAGTATGTCTGCTCCCTACGCTTGCTATTGAAATAAGGAAAACACCTTGTGCAGTTTCTCCCTAATCTGTCAGCAGAGTTAATGTTCAGTGCAGTTTGTGTAGCTGCTTGCATCTTCTGATTCCCCCCATTCACACATATTGCTGGTAGTGGGCTGTGGATTGAGGGTCTTATGAGTTACAATTAATACCTGCAACTTCTTATTTTTTGTAGTAACCAAGTCATAATGAATTAACAGAAGTTGTGAAATGAATGAGAACGAAGTCTTGCCTTTGGCGTGACACTTCCAGATGACTTTGATTTGTTTTGAGCAGATCCTCCACGCTGCAGTTTTTATTTATGTATTTATTACATAAGAAGTGGAAAATATTACATGTCTCTCCCCCTTTATGCTTGAACAATTTGCTTATTTGTTTACACAATTTCCTGATCACAACATGGGAATATGTTTAAGATAATGACAAACAACAAATACAGCATATTAACTAAACAGCAACACAAATGGGGGGCATAAAACAAAAGTGTTAATTAAAATATAATAGATCAGTAAAATGATAGATTTACTTAGATTAGTTGTTTTGGGTTCAGATGCTTGATTTAGGTTCAAATTTGGCCATTGCCAATCTTCCTGAACAATCTGATATTACAGTCTTGTGTACGATCATTCCCAGTTTAGAATAACATTTTGAGAAAACAAAATCCCTGATATTAAGCTATGGGACACTTAGACTTTTAGAAAAATAAAATTAAAAACTGGTAGTTAAGTCATGGAAAGACATGTTTTGAAAGTCACTTTGAAGTGTTAAAGAGTGGGGAACATCATAAGGAAAAACATGTTCACGTTACTGTGCCTTCAAAATTATTAGCCTTGTGTTCCATCCTGTATGCAAATCGAACTGCGTCATATTCCATTACCACAAGAGATCTATATTTGATATTATATTTCTTTCTTACAGATACTTCCTGGCTTGTTCCTTGGAAATTTTAAAGGTAAGATTGCCTTAATTAGTAGTTGTGATGCAGTGCTCTGTGTTAAGCTAGGGGGAGTTGTCCACCTCCCTTTTCCATTTCGTGCACATCATACCATCCTGTGCTATAAAACTAGGAATGTTGACCATCTAGAATTTAGAGTTTGGATATTGTTGAACTTCAGCTCCCATCGGCCCTAGCTTATATGGCCAGTTGTGAGGGATGATAGGAGTTGTAGTCCAGTAACATCTGGAGAAATACGTTCCTTACCCCTGCCTCAGAAACCTGTCTTTCACGATGACTCTTGAAACTAGCGTGTGCACTTCATCATCTAAAGAAAACAAAACCAGAGCAACACAACTGTTTCATAGGATATCCCCAAGTTTGATTTACATTTTTTTTAAATGGAGTGGAGAAAGTTGACACAACTGTTTCATAGGATATCCCCAAGTCTGATTTACATTTTTTTTAAAAAATGGAGTGGAGAAAGTTACCTTCCATTATGTTGTTGAACTGCAAATTCCCCATCAGCCTTAGCCACCCTAACCACTGATGAGAACTGATTAAAGGCTAAGTCCAATGAAGTCTGGAAGACTGCATGTTTTCCATTTAAATGGTGTTGGTTAGAACCCTGGAGCATCCTATCACCCAGCCACTATGCAGTGCAGACCAAGCGATGATGGGAATCGATGTCAAGCCTCTGGAGCACACACCGTTTGGCAGGGAAGGCTGTTCTGTCACAACAACCAGCTCCTTTTCTCTTGGTGTTTATCTACGTTGCTTTCTTCAGTTCAACAGAGGCTGTGTGGGCTGTGGAAGAGCGAGTGGACACTATGCAAGCTACAATAGGAGCCTGTGAACTAATAATTGAGGAGGAAGCTTAGGTGCCTTAGGCTGTGAGCATGACTTGCCCAACTTAAGCATGCTCACCAAGTGAAAATGTTCTTGTGAACTGTATTCAGATTTATTGCAACTTCATAAAGAAGGAGCAGGATTGGTTTTTGGCATCGCCCTGGATGCATATACAAAAAGGCAACTAGTCCTTTTTTTAAAAAGAAGAAAAAGAAACAAGTATCATACTGAACATGTCAACATGCTTGAATCGCTTGTTCTTTGAATTAATTTAATTTTTGGGAGTTTGAAAGCTAAATATCTCTCCCAAAGGTGGGTCATTTGTTATTGTAAAATAAACTTGTTATGTGCCATCAAGTTAGAACTGACTTGTAGTGACCCTAATGTGGCTTTCAAGGTAAGTGAGATATTTAAGGAGTGGTTTTTCCAGCTCCACTTCCACTAGTGAGTTCCCATAGCTGAGCGGGGATTCAGACCCAGGCCTCCTGAGTCATAGTCTATCACTCCATCCGCTATACCACACTGGATATCGAAAATGAACCTGGGTATTATGAGAACAAAACAAATCTACCACTGTTTTCCAATTTGGAAATGTTGCTCGTTTGCCAAGATTCTGCAAGTTGTAGTTTTAAAAAGTAACTTGCCCAGCACGACTGCTTTTAACTGGGCTCCTCCCCTTGTCTGTAAAGGATGCCCACTCTTACTGCTTTCCTGTTACTTTGCTGTTGCTTTTGAAGAACTGCATAACTTCTTCCCCTATAAAAGCACCTATGGTGTTACCACTTTCGCTAAGCACGTTGGGATGCTTATTACTCTGGATTAAAAAACCTAGGAGAGCTTTCGTGCATGGAGATCTATGTGGCCTTATTGTTTCTGCAGATGAAGTGGCAAAGAGTTATACATAGATGATGCATCTCTCATGCAGTACTGCTGTATCTGAACAAAGCCAGTATGGAGTGACGTTGTACAGTGGTGCCCCGCAAGATGATGTTAATTCGTTCCGTTGAAATCGCTGTCTTGTGAAAACATCGTCTTGCGAAAAGCGTTTCCCCATTGGAATGCATTGGTAAAGGTAAAGGTTCCCCTTGACAATTTTTGCCCAGTCGTGTTCGACTCTAGGGGGCGATGCTCATCCCCATTTCCAAGCCATAGAGCCAGCGTTTGTCCAAAGACAATCTTCCGTGGTCACATGCTTAAAATGGCTCCCCGCTGTGTTTAGGGATGGATTCCTCGCTATACAGGCACCGAAAATGGCTGCTGTATGGAGGATCTTCGCTGGATTATGAGTTTTTAGCCCATTGGAACGCATTGAACGGTTTTCAGTGCGTTTCAATGGGCTTTTTATTTTCGCTTTACGACAATTTCGCTTAACAGCCATTTTTCTGGAACGGATTATTGCCGTTAAGTGAGGCACCGCTGTATTAACCATACACATGGTGAACCATATCTCTGAACAATGACTTCATTTTACTGCTGAACGGATTGAACCATGTTTGTAGTGGGAGTTCCAAATATGCTACAGACCAGTATGACATCTCAGGGAAGTTTGAAAACTTAGCAGTTTAAGCAGTAGTGTCATGGGTGCTTACAGCCCTCTCCAGAAAAGTCCAGAAATACCCAGTTTAAGCAGTAGTGTCATGGGTGCTTATTGTGACACACGGTCAGCCCTCTCCAGAAAAGTCCAGAAATACAGGTAGCTGTTTCGTTCTATGCCAACCAATGTGGAGCAGGTCTTCTGTAAAGCTAACGACTCCTGGTAGTTCAGTCAACAGCATACCATCCTGAAATACCCTGCAGTACAGTAGGGCAAGTTTGGAACAGTGCACTGGTCCTTTGAAAACCCTTTTCTCTCCCAGCTACTGTTAGGATTGCACCTATGCTCAGAGGAACAGGGAAAGTTGGATGGTGGTGGTAGATATCGTTGTATTTTCTATTGATGAGGAAGCCCCAGATTGTTGACCCTGCAAGCCCTTGTTCCACATCACCACTTCATTTAGATCAGAATCCTCTTGGGGGGAAAAACTGTGCATGTAACCGTAATCATATAGGCAGTTTCCTCACTGTGGTGCAGTATCTGTTGGTTGGTTGATTCTGCAAACAGTGCATGATTGGTCATGTAAAAAACATCCCACCAGAGCAGGTTTGTGGAATGCCTGTGTAGTTATGTTGCATACAAAGGTTTCCCCAAGAGGACTCTGGCCTTCATATATGACCTCGACTCCCTTATGTTTTCTTCTTTTTTGCACTTCTTTGGACAGTTTTTTTCTAGAATGAAAGCAGTAGAATGTAAATAATGTGGCATAGTGCAAATAAATATTGAATTAGTGGATAGATAAATAAAAATAACTCGAATCAGGAATAAGCACTTTGCATTTTATCAACATGGGATGTTTAGCATTTTTGTTTGCTAAAAACTAGCATAGATTAGAACTCTATGCAATTCGAACCAAAGTTTGCAGAATGTAATTTGACCAAGCTATGTGATGCAAGGCCTTTTTGGCAAAAGTCACAAAGCATGATGAAACTGATACCTAGTATCTGTTTCCCAATTTGGTTCTTTTAATTTTCTCCTTCTATAGTTGAGTCAAGACCAAAAAAGTTGTTTTGGATTACAAAGTGAGTCAGCACTTCAGCCTTTATTAAAATTTTGCAGGCTTCCTGTCTTGCAATCTCTGCTGGCTCTTGCAGTAGTTCGTCTATAAAATGTTGTTACCTGTTCGTATATGAACCATGCATTAATATAGGTGGTATATTATTGCATGATTCATAAAGCTGCAATACTGTAATCTAAAAGGCTGCCAGAGATTCTTAACAGGGAAGCTATTTTTGTTTGTTAATAGGAATGGCATCCGCAAGTCAGGTTTCTAGTCCTTACTGTCAAAAATAAAGGAACCCTGCATTCAAAAGGTCAATTTTTTTCCTAAATGTTTTGAATGCTTTCAGTCCTCATATGGAATTGACTCTTGATTTTGAGGTTTGGCAATCAGTAACTGATCCCTACAGATTTTTTACTGAAATTACTGCCATCTTGTTTGATGATAATACTTCTCATTTCTCTCTCTGTACTATTCTGTATTCACTTTTTAGCAAAATATAGAATGGATGCTTTTTAAGAATTGTATTCTATGCCATGTGAGAATTTATGATTATATTAGCTTTGGGGGGGGGGACTCAGTGAAACAAAATTTGTAGATGCTTTTGTGGGGCACATTCTGTAGTCCAGATGCTGCACTCAATGAAACAAAATTTGTGGATGCTTTTGTAGGTACATTCTGTAGTCCAGATGCCGTAACAGGAAACATCCTGGTGTTAACTGAAGATGGAGGACAGGAAATAGAGCCTGCGTTGGTTACCTCTGTGTAGTGTTTCTAGGTACTGGCAGATTTGTAGAGTACTACATAATTCATCTTCTACAGAGGTTATGGTTGGCATGTGGAAGGCACCTGTAGCTTCCTTCCTGTGATGGGCACAGCATTAGCTGGTGGCAGCAGGCTGTTGTCTCATCTAACATGGTGCCTTACAACCACAGTGGGCCATAGCTTTCACAGCTTGCCCTAGAGATGCTGAGTTAATCTAGGATCTTCTGTGTTCCGCTACAGAGAGATAGCTGTTACCTTGACATCTGGGTATCCAAATCTTCTCCTGAAGCACCACTAGACTTACACTGGACACAATCTTTTTCGCATAACTTTGCTCTGGCGTAACTTGGATCAGGCACTAGAAGCATTTAATTTAAATTAATTACAAGCTTCCTGTCCTTTTTATGTTCTGAGGCTCCCTAGTGCTCCCTTTTTCCTAGGGGAAACCTTTGGGGTTAGCGATAGCTGGGATTGCTGGCCACCTGGCAACAATTATTTACTACTTAAGGCTTGCCTCCACCTGTGCAGGTGCTCACAAAGACTTTTCCAGGGCAAAAGGAAGCCCTAGGGAGCATCTGAACCTGATATAGTATGCTTCTGATCACTTTAAATTACAGTGGTGCCTCGCTTAACGATGATAATCCGTTCCAGGAAAATCACTGTTAAGCGAAAACATCATAAAGCGAAATTAAAAACCCAATTGAAACACATTGAAAACCAGTCAATGTGTTCCAGTGGGGTAAAAATTCACCGTCCAGTGAAGATCCTCCATACGGCGGCCATTTTCAGTGCCTGTATAGCGAGGAATCC